TGCCTTGGAAGGGAGATGGGTCATAGCTATGGGGACAGACTTTTTAGCAGGGGCCGTAGTAGTTGTAAATTGGAAGGGGGTAAATTTAGACTAGATGTCAGGAAGACGTTTTTTTACATTGAGGGTGGTGAAACGCTGGCCCAGGTTGCCCAGAGAGGTGATAGAAGCGCTGGGTCAGCCTGGATGGGGCTCTGGGCAACCTCATCCCGTGGAAGATGTCCCTGCTCACAGCAGGGTTACTGGCCTGTATAACCTTTAAAGGCCCCTTCCAACCTGAACCATTCTATGATTCTAATAGCTTCGTTCCTGCCTCTTTGGTGAGGTGTAGGGTCAGGCTGGGCACACAGTTTGGGTACAGGCAGGTGACAGCACCAGCTGCAGTGCTGCCAGCCAGCTCACTTCTCTCCCCAGCAAGGAGAGCCCTTCAGTTGTTTGCATGGTGGTCCTGCACAGGACCTGTGTGAGACCTTCTGCCACCTGACTGTAGAAACAGAGCAGAAAGACATTTACTGCACCAAAGAGCTTATTAATCTGTAGGCAGAATGCAAAAGAATGGTGCACAAAGCACCCCTGTCTGACCATCGCTGAATCTTTGCAAGATGCCTCACATCCAGAGTGTATGTGCTGTTTGCAGCCTGTTCTGTCAAGGTCTGTGGCAAAAACAGGGTGAGAAGCACTGCATATGCCCAGTGTACTTGAGTATGAGAGATGTTAATACAGTGGGCTCCTTCAAAACACTTAGAGCAGACGTTTGCTGTTTTGTGCTCAAAGTTTGGCAAACCAAGGTCAACACTTGGCTTTGCTTTCTAGTTACTTTGGTCATGATTTGCAGTAGGCAAACACCCATCACACCAGGCCATCATACATTCTGGTTCATACCATAATCAATAATTCTCGTGTTGATAACAGCCCCTTTAGCTGAGATGAAACCAGGGTCCTTATTCATAATAATATTCTGCTTTGGTAATGGCCTTTCTCTTTTCCAGAGAGTTGTGGTTGTGGAAGACATCAAACGATGGAAGTCTGTGCTTGAGCTTCCTGGGCAACCAAAAGAGAATCTGATTGAAGCTTTGGAGGAGCTGAAGAAGAAAATACCTTCCAAGGAAGTGTTACTTTCAACCAAAATAGGTACATCTTGTCTGATCTAGGCTGTCAGCATTAGGCTGTCTCGTGTCTGCTTGGCTTGTCAGTACAAAAGGGACTAGCTTGCGGGTTTTTTCAGAAATTAGCGTAGCTGCCAATAAAAAATGGTTGATATCCAGCCTGCACTGTACTGAACAAGTCAGCTATCCTCTAATTCCTGCCAGGTTGCCTGCTAATTCCCAAGTTCTGCATCACCCCTTCTCTGGTCTAATTTTTTAAGAGCTCTTCTTGGGCACCTGCCTGTCTTTTTTTCCTTCTCCTGCTGTCAGGGGCATGGCAGGATGCTCTCATGCCATCCAACACGTGCCTCACCTGTTTGACCTGCCTGAATCCTTTGAATATGTGAGAAATTCTCCTCACATTGTCCCTGAACTTGTGCTTTCTCACACTAAGAAATCTGCAGCAGATGGGCAGCTCCGTGCAAATGACCCAGCCTGGTGCCTGCCTATTTTTCCATAGGACTTGGGGGAGGGATAATGTGACCACATGGTCCCTTCCTCTTCTGTCTACTGAGGGCATCCTGGCATAAGCGACAGTCGTGCCGGCCTTTGTTTGCCATTAGAGCAGCTGGATCTCTATTCAAGGAGCCCCCTTTGCCTTAGAAAAGGAGGTGCGATCTGTCCCTTTTCCCTGCCGTCCGAATTGTCATTTCCCTCGCTGTGTTGAGCTTATTCACTCTGCCTTATTCCCGAGATTTTTCCCAGTGCCTGCCTGAAGGCGGCTGGGCTGGGAAAAGCCACCGAAGCCTAACAGTGACATCTCCTGGCCAACAGCGTAGTGGTCAGAGAGAAACACCCCGCTGGAGGAAGGTCCCTTTTGTCCCCTCTGAGAGGAAAGCCCCTTGGCGCTGGCAGGCCCTCAGGTGCTCAGAGTCACCTGGTGCCTGCATCTTGAAATGCTACAGCCACCAGCAGCAACACCTGCTGCCTTAGAGGCCTTTTCTGTTTAAAACCAGCCTTCTCTGTAGACCAACCTGACAAGGTTTCACCAGATCTAGTATCTGTGTGGAAAATTAATGCAGCCCTGGATTGCACAAGTGTCTCTTCACACCTTGGTGACTCAGGAAGGCAATTTTTACGTGTCGATTCCTTGCTAATTGCCCAGGCGAGTGTCACTGACAGGTCAAGGAGTAAGAACTTCAGGCTGAATTCCTAATGATTTTATGTTCATACTTGTGTCAAGGCTCTAGTTGTTTTGCTGACACTGAATTGAGGGTGTGGTGGCTGCTTGAGCAGCAGTGTGAGGTGCCTGGCGCCCACCTACCCCAGCTGAAGGGGCTGTCGCTGTTTCCCAGGTCACACGGTGAACAAGATGCGCAAACACGCCGATCCCGCGGTGGCCAGCCTGGCCAGGGACGTCTACACAGAGTGGAGAACTTTCATCAGAGACCATTCAAACAAGCCCTCAATCGTGGTTAGGAGTGACCCCAAGACCGAGGCCTTCCGCAGGAACGCGCGGAAGCTGCTCTGTGAAGCCCTGGATCTGGAGGTGCTGTTCAAATCCACGTGTCTTTGGCTCTAAGAGTTTTTCTTGTAGGAACAAGTTAAACCTTTTTTTCAGCCACAGCTGCTGGGAAGCTGGTCCTGCCCCCACTCTGCAGGCAGGACCAGATTCTCTATTTTCAGTGATTTGCTGCATGCCCCTATTTACAAGTAGCTTTGTTTTCAAGGTAGATGATAATTTTTTGGTTGTTAACCAAGTAAACATGCTAACTGGGAGGTGTATTTGCTGCCATTGACATAACCAGCCAACAAAACAGTTATGTATCTACTGCAGTTGGGCTGTAGGAACGGAGAAGGAAGCTAATAGAACATGAAGTTTTTCTTGCTACTTAACAGCTGTGAAAGCAGCGCTGGGACCTTTTGGATGTTTCATATTTAAGTAATTAAACATTTGTAAATTTAAATCTATTGCAAAAACATAGAGGCAAGGTTGACAGTTTATAAAGTGGTGATAAATACCAGATCCCTCAGGTATCTGTAAGTAAATGAAATGGGCTTTGCTGTAAGGCTTAATGACTAGTTTGCTTGGTCTATGAAATGCCATAATAATTATCCTTTTTAATTTATTCATTAATTATCCTTTAAATGGCAAGTCAAGTGATAAGCACTCAAGAGTTACAAAGCAATGCATTTGCTAGCTATGAGAACAACCTCTCCCAACTTCCAGTCCATCTGGACTGAGGCAGCACAAAAGGTTGGTTTGCTGTGGGAATGTCTCAGAAAGGTGGGAGCTCACTTTTGCCAGGCTGCTGGGTCAAGCCTAGTTCTTGGAAAGCACATCTATAGCATGCTGGTAAGATTGGTAGGAGAGTCTGAGCCTCTGGAATATAAAGGTTATGGTACCATCTTAAAACAAGTAGTATTGGGTAAAGTAGACTCCCCTCTGGACAGCACTGACCTGAAAGTATAGTGAGAAAAACGATCTTTCTGGTTTGCAGCCACCACTGAATGTGTAAGTGGAGCTTCCAGCAGCAAATTAACAGCATGAATGGGCAGGGGAGCCACAGAGGACCAGCAAATGGGGAGAAGGAGCACCTGAGAAGCTGGAAAAAAGGAAGAGGGAGGGTGGAGCTGATTGGATCTAAGGGGCTTCTAGTGCTAACCAACAGAAGGGCAATTTAGTGATGGGTAGCAAAACCAGAATGGGCAGAGGACTTGGAGGAATACTGTTTGGTATGCTGGAATCTTCTGCATGCAAAACATGGGAGATTCCCCATCACAAAAGGCAGGAATGAAATTAAAACAATTTCTTGATGGGTGGGGGATTTTTTTCCTAAGCTGAGCTAAATTACAGGTTTTGGCACACATTGGAGCAATAACTCCATAATTAACATTTAGCAAATCCCTTTCTGCGTTCTTAATTACACCTCTTTCTACACACAGAGAGCCCACATTTCCCTTTATAGCATCAGGCAGAGTTGCCAAGTATTTGGCATGTCTTCGAGTTGCTGTTGGAATCAGGTTTAAAATAGTATCCAAGGTACCTTCTATCAGCAAGATCAAAAGTGATCTTTATGGAGACACTACAACATAGCTTATAATTGCAGATGAGCTTGATACCCAAAGCTGGTTGCAGATTAGTTTCCTGTTGTGATAGCAAAGTACTGCAACCCAGCTGGAGATGGGAATATGTTCCCTGCTACTGACCATGTTCCCTTTTTCCTTAATTGCTAGGGTGGAATTAAATTGCTCTTCCTGTTACACTTTTGATGGGAAGTAGCTTTCCTTGAACCTAAGCTGATTAACGAAGAAACACTGGAAAGCACCAACCTCCAATCTCAATCAGTTGGTCTCCTTATTAAAAGGTAAAGATCTAATGTTATACTTTGCTGTTTTCAGGCTGATCACCCACTGGCTGAAAACATGGAGCGAGAAGCTTTTCATCTCTCTTCCCGCCTCGTCAGCGCCTCGTACCGCAGAACCGTGCGAGCTCTTGTCTTCTCGTTAAAGCACAAACCTGAAACCCGAGCAGAAGTCAAGGCTGGCACACTCACCGTCCCTGCCTTTGTACAGAGCCATAAAAAGTGAGGTGTCGTGCTTGATCCTGAGTGAGAACTTCTTGTGCCTGCATCTCTGCGGAGCTGGGAGCCCTTCCTGCCGCGCGGGGAGGGTGGAAGTGCTGACAGTGTGACTCCCTTGGCACCACTCTGTGAGCAGGGCTGCTGGAGACAAGGAGTACTAATGATGAAAGGGGTGCTGTAAATCTGGCTTGGTGGAAATCCATGTGGGCTTGTTGCAAGAAGGTGTCTTCTCCTCTGCTGTATATTTTTGTGCTACAAAAGCTATCCTTGCTCACTCACCTGTTTCTCACTTCTTCCCAGTCTGTCATACCTCAGTTTAGCTTGGTCCCTGAGGTGGATCTTCAGGTGTAATCAGCTGAATAACATAAAGGAGCAGCTCTCTGCTCATAGGAAATACTGGGAATTGAGGGTAATTGGTCCACTGGAGGAGATTCCTAGCGGATAACTGCAAACTTGTAGTTAACCCTAAATCAGCCATGTCTGCTGCAGCTGGGCCTTGTCTGTGGCAAGAGCTGTTTTGCTAAGACAGGAGATTTGCCTTTGCTGCATTCCAGAGATGGATGCAAATGAGTTTCAGTAACTTGCTATCCACCATTCCACAGGCTCAGTCATCCTGTGGTTGTGGGCATTTTCTAAAGCCTTGGCATGAATATTAAAATGCCTTGGAGTACAGGTGCTAATTCCTCTGGTGTATAGTGAGCAGCTCACTCAGACTTTCATACCTCACTCATTTAAACGTGGTGCTTGTTCTTCCTGCAAGGTGAAAAAAACACTCAAATTGAATTTTCTAAATAAAACTAGGTTATAAGCAAAATACTACTTTTAAAGGCTTTTTTTTTTCTTCAAAAGGAACATGGTTCAGAATAATTGCATGAACAAACTTAAACAACAAACTATTGTTTAATTCCTTCTAGTTATTAAAAACTGGAAAAATTCTCATACTTGCTCTGGTTCCTTTAGTGCCACAAGTCATCTTGTTCTCCAGAAGCTGTTATTAAAGCTGTGACAGGCACAGTGTTTCTCTAGGTAGGTGATAAAGTGCTCTCTGTTCTGTGTGTGTACATACACCAGGGACTGCTCACAATCATTTTCCGAGTTACCAGGGTAGACAGAAGCAAGTAGGGGGATGAGTGAAACCTGCCTGTTCACAGTCATGGGAATTGGAGTCTAATACACCACAAGGAAGTGTCTTCTGATCAGTTGTGGTCAGCACTTACTTTAGAAGAGTCACTAAGGGACAAATAATGCAGCAGGAAAACTGAAATGGTCTTCATCCTAAACCAGGACTGGGTGTCATGATGATGACCTGCTAAATACTTGTCTTCTCTGAATGCTAAAAGCTAAGGAAACACTCAGACTTTACCTCAGGTGTTGAACTCCCTAAGTTTCATTAGACAATGGCAGGTTCTCTTAAGAATTTTAAATTTTGAAAAGAAATTAAAAGTGAATAATAATAGTAATAGTCCTGTTTTGTTTGGGTCAGTGCAAGGCCATTTTTTTTCTGTCCAGTCCCTTCAAACAGTTGGCTTTTCTGCACACAGGGGTGCTCTGTGCAACACAGACATGTCATTTGCAGAAAGTTAAGATTAGGGGTGTTTGAAACAGCATGAGACAAACTCATGGATATGTGTGTGGTGACTATATGGATAAAACATCAATAAAGACTTAACACCTGTTGACCAGGCTGTAGCAAGAGATGTGAAAGCCCTCAATTTATTTCTTACAAGTAATCAGCTCCATTTCCCACTTAAATAACTTCAAACTGCACAGCTGTAATTGAATTCACATATCCTGCAGTGTCATGGAAGGGGTTCAGGATCAATGAATGACCTAAGTTTGTCTTCCAGAGCTGCAATGCCAAGACTTGCAGTATTTCTTTTTCAGACTTCTGCTCCTGGTGCTGGGCTGTGTTTTCTCTGCTTAGGTAATGTGTGAAGAGCAAAAATCCTGAAAAATTAAGAACTTCTGGTTCAAATGAAAACCTGGCCAGAGAAGTTTCCCACACAGGTCAGATACTGTCAGAGAACTCCAAACACAGGGCAGGTTGATACCATGCTGTGTGTTGGGGTGCAAGACTCTTCTAGGAATCACTCAAATTGTTTGAGATGCTGAGGACAATCACTGTCTGAATGGGAACCCCTTTATGGTGATGACAGTTCTACTCTGAATTTCTGCATTAAAAGAGAAGGTCTGGAAAGCCCAAGCACCTGACCCCTCGAGAGCACATCGCTCCCAAGCACTGGAATGTCTTACCTGTTCTAGTTTGCCTGTGGCAAACCCACTCACAGGAGGTCCTGCAGAACCCTCACCAGCTCGGGTTCCCCACCACATTGGGCTGGGGGAAGAAGGGACCTCTCATGCACACTCAAGGTTGGCTTCACTAGCCCAGGGATGCATTGCTCCTAAATTCTGCTCTTTCTTCTCGGGTTCAGCCACAGGGTACCAGTAAGACATGTTACAAAGGCAGGGACTCTCCACAAGCTCCTGTCTTCACGCTGGGGAAATCCTTTTAATCTAAAAGAGAGGATGAAAGGGCTGAGCAGTGCCTCCCTTGTGCTAGTTCTCTCTGGCATGGTGCCTTTGAAATAGCTGGTTCCCTTTTTACAGGAGAAACATTAAATGAAGGAGGCACCCAATCTAGAGAAAAGGTTCTTTTTTCCTTTTTCTTATCAGGTTAAACCCAGCCCACAGACTTCTTTCAGTGAAAGACTAGATAAAGCTGATGGACCTATAGAGACCTGCTGCACCTAGCAAAGAGGGAAGGGAAGCACCTCCTGGGGTTGAGTCATGTCACCTGCTCTCTTTCCCAGCCTGTGCTGATGGCCCTTGGGGAGTACAGGGTGGGCTCAGGACAGCACCAGGAGAGATGGAAAGGGAAATTCATCCCTGTAAGAGCTGACTTCTGAGGAGCAAGTTTGGAAAGGCACCAAAAACCAGCATGTTCTGTTCCCCACCAGCAGGCACAGCTCAGGAGAGCTGCCACAAATCACTTGGGCAAAAGAAGATGGGAGGGGACAAGACCCTCCCTGTCCTTTGGAAAAGAAAGTGCACAACAGCTCGCCATTTTTCATCTTTTCAGAGGCTCTTCAAAGGCTTCTCCACAAAGAATCTAAACTTTCAGATGTCCTTTGCTTCCCTGGCAGCCCTGTAACACGGAGGGTTTGCTAGGCTGACCCTGAATTAAGAGACATTAAGGCAAGGAGCAGCAGCCTCACGTACTTTTTGGAGCCCTAATCATCTGCAAGAGGCTCCAGGAACTTTCCCCCCAGGGTATGTTTGTGCATGATGGGGCTGGAGCAGAGGAGGCATGGATGGAGGAAAGCAGAGGAGGCAGAGGGTTGGAAACCCGCTGGGGAGTTCCCCAGCCTGCCCAGCTGCAGCCTCAGACCTTGCTCCTCCATGCAGAGCAACTCCGGCAGTTTTAAAGTGTTTTCATGCTAATGAGCAAGCCTTCCCATCGCAGAGGTGATGTTGTGGAGGATCCCACAAGGGCTGCAGAGCCCTCCTGTCCGAACTAATGTTCAAACACCCCTCTGCACAGGAGCTGACATTGGAGTGTCCCCCTTGTTCAGCTGGATGTACTGGCATTTCGCAGGGGGGGAAACTGAGGCACAAAGGGACCCTGACATGCCACAGGATGCTGAAAAGGGAAGCCTGGGATACTCTGTAATTAATGATGCTCTAATTCTTCTGCTGGCAGCCCACTGAACAACCTCCACGGTCTCTGTCAATTAGACTAGATTATGGGATAATCCTTGCTAATTACACATTATTATACAGCAACCAGTTGTCTCCGTGTAAGGGGTGCTCCTATAAGGGACAAACACTGCTCCTCCAGCACAGCCAACCCAATGACAAAAAACAAGCCCAAACCATTCCT